TCCAAACTATTCCAGATTTGTGAATTCGTGCCTCTCTCCTTTGTTATTTCCACAATTTCATAGCATTCTCCATACGTTTATTACACAATTTGTATATTTTTCCTGCTTCGAAACCATCAACACGAATGAAACATTTCGAGGGAAATCACGTGCGCGCATCTGCTTGGATATATTTCCTCTTAACACTTTGCTGACTGTATAGAAGAAGAAAGATAAACACTCCGTAGCTTCCCTTACTTGACACAGTGTACCGACGAGAGCCGGATATTTAAAACTGACGGAATAAAAAAGCACCAATTGTTACGTAACCGTGAAACTTTGGAGAGGGGGCGTTTTTTGCCCTTAGCCTTTGTCAGGATATGTATAACAAGATGTAGTACCATTTCAGAAAAGCGCAGGGATTATAATTCATGGCAAGACACTTGCTGCAAAAAATTTTCATTTTCATTTTGTGAAATGACAAATGATAGGTAATGGTATATGCTCGTATTTTTCAGCTTTTATTTCTATTCATTTTTGAATTTATTAGACTTAGTATACGATAGAAAGATTATTCAAATTATTCAGATGCGTGGAAATATAAGCCAGTTGTAATTTTTAAAAATATTTTATACGATAGATTTCAAAGAAAAGATTATTTATATGTTATAAATAAATATATTAAAAGAAAAAGTTATATTAGAAGATATTAAACTCGTATTTTTCTACAAAATTTATATGGAAAATATTTTTCTAATTTTAAAAATATTAGTTGACATGAACAAACGTAACAAATATAATGTTCCTTTTTTTTAAATCGTACAATTTTATAAGTATCACCGTTTAAAATATTTTCTTCTACGAAATAAGAAATTCAATAGGGAAGAAAATGAATGTTAATATAAATTTTTTTCCTATATTAACAAAAGATTAGTTAGATTGAAAATTTTATTTTAAACAAAGATGAAAGATGTTCTGATTGAAAATATACTTTCGTAGAAAGTAAGTTGAATCTAGTTCCTGTAACGAATCCCCAAGGAAATAAGTCCACTGCTTAAAAGGTTACTCAAGTAATTAAACTTTTAATCGGCCAGTCTGCGAAGAGGACGGTTACAGCGTACACGAATTTTTTGTTTTTCAGCTTTTGTCAAATGGCACAGGAGCTATCTCAGTTTGAATTTTACTCTTTTAATTGTTCCAAGTTTCGCGAAGAGGTTTTTTGCAATAGGTATTATCGTTCCTACTGTCCTTATCTCTTAAAAAGAAAAATTATATATTTCTTTCAACGAATCTTTTCGCGATATTGGAAATAAAAAATAAAGAGTATAGAATACCGAAGAAAGAAAGATATCGCGTTAAAAGTCGAAAATTAATGGCCCCTCGTGTAAAACGAAATCAAAAATGTAGAATACAATATTTTTTCTTCAACTTTTATTTTCGACAAAATTAGATTTAAACAAGCAAATGAATTTTCTAAAAATAAATCTTCAAATGAAAACTGTTCGTTCTACGTTCTCAATTTATTTTTGTACGAATCTTTCTCTCTCCTCTTGTACCCCACAATTTTCAAAATTATCGTATTTAAATAGTTGCTTAAAATCATCGTAACCAATCATTATCTCATTTATTCAAAAATCCTGTAAAAATAAATTCACAGTCATTCGTTTTACGAAATTAATTTATAACAACAGCAACAGCGTAAAGAGCACGCCACGAGCAAACAACAAAAGCAAGCGAATAAAATTCTCGTAAAAAAGAAAAAAAAACAAGAAACAAAA